TTGCCACTCGCAAGTAAATTGCCAACGGCAAGTGGCAGAGCCTGAATTTGAGTAGTCTGGTTCTAAGTGTCTTACTCTAAACCATTGCACTATCTAACAGAAAAAGCTGAAGGCTGAGACTGTAAACAGTGCACTGGAATTGGCAATTAATAGATCTTTGATGCTTTTTAAGAGTGTGCTTCCTCAGCACCTATTGCAGTGCCTACCTATTTCACTGAGAAAAGAGAAGCAATTGAAGAGAATTTCTGCACATTCTCACCAACAAATCTATCAACCTACCTGAATCTCTACCTAGATTCTACCTTCCTGTTACAAGAAAGGAACTGTCTATGGACCTATCACCTGATCCTATCCTCTTCCACTTACTCAAGGAAATCAGCCAGCAATTGTCCCATCTCTATCCTGTATCAACTGTAGCATCTGATAATAGCTACATTATTTCCCACCTTGGAAAAGAGAAATGACCTTTTGAACCCACATTTCCCTCCAGCTTCAGCTCCATTTCTCTGCTCCCATTTTATTTCTTGAAAGAGTTGTCACCACATGATAACTCCACATCTCCCATTCTCTCTAGAACCCTCTCTAATCACTTCACTTCCTGGAAACAGCCCTTGTCAAGACCACCAGTGACTACTGTGTTTGCCAGATTCAGTGGTTATCTCAGTCCTCAACTTATGCAACCTATGCAGCAACACCTGACACAATTACTCCCTTCTGCTTGACAAATATTCATTACATGGCTTTCAGAACATTACTTTCTGGGTTCTCCTTTGCTGGTCATTCATTTTCAATATCCTTTGAAACTTGCTCCTTATAGCCCAGTCCTTGGTCCTCTATTCTATCTACGCTCACTCACTTCTGGGCAACCTCATCCATCTCATGGCTTTAAGATCATCTATATACTGACAATTCTTAAACTGATGTTTCCTACCAAGAACCTTTTCATGAACTTTAGACTCACAATATCTGGTGCCATTTATGCCTCTGATACTCAAGATGTTTAACTGAAATCCTGATTTCTACTCATTTCTCACAGGACTGCTCCTTCCCCTTTCCTCCCCTGGTCCGTCTGAGTAAATGGCAATCCATTCTCCGAGGGAGCAATATCACCCCACATGGAGAAAAAGTTGGCTCTTGTGGGATGAAAAAGTCTTAGATATTACAATGCTTTGTCACCTTCCAAAGCTAAACTCTACCCAACAAAATCTTACTCCTTATTTAATTTCTCTCATTTTCTTGGGTGTGACACAAGCAGCAATGACATTGAGTTCATGGAAAATACAAAAATTGTATGCAAAATCAGTAAGCCTGTGTGCCACAACTACTGAGCCCGCGTGCCTAGAGCCCATGCTCCGCAACAAGAGAAGCCACTGCAGTGAGAAGCCCGCGCACCGCAACGAAGAGTAGCCCCTGCCTGCCGCAACTAGAGAAAGCCCACGCACAGCAACGAAGACCCAACGCAGCCAAAAATAAATAAATAAAATAAAGTTAAAAGTTCACTAAATTTTTTAAGAAATTAATTTTTCAATTATGTTACTTATGCTGGAAATATAACAGTATTGAATGATTTTTAAAAAACTGATTCCTGGGCTTCCCTGGTGGTGCAGTGGTTAAGAATCCGTCTGCCAATGTAGGGGACATGGGTTCGAGTCCTGTTCTGGGAAGATCCCACATGCCGCAGAGCAACTAAGCCCATGCACCACAACTACTGAGCCTGCACTCTAGAGCCTGCGAGACACAACTACTGAACCCATGTGCCACAACTACTGAAGCCCACGTGCCTAGAGCCTGTGCTCCGCAATAAGAAGCCACCAGGATGAGAAGCCCGCTCGCCGCAACTAGAGAAAGCCTGTGCACAGCAACGAAGACCAAACGCAGCCAAAAATAAATAAATAAATAAATAAATAAATAAATAAATAAATAAATAAATAAAATTTTTTAAAAAACTGATTCCCTGGTGGTCCAGCGGTTAGGACTCGGCGCTTTCACTGCCATGGCCTGGGTTTGATCCTTGGTCAAGGAACTAAGATCCCACAAGCCGCACGGTGTGGCAAAAAAAAAAAATCAAAAACTGATTTCATTGCTATTATGTATTTATATAAATTGTTAATTTACATATGTAATGCAGTGAATTACAATTTATATACATAAATTACATTAAAGTTTACTCAGCAAATACAGTTATAAAGTTAAATACTATTAGCGTTAAAATTTTTAAGTTTTGGGACTTCCCTGGTGGCGCAGTGGATAAGACTCCGTGCTCCCAATGCAGGGGGCCCGGGGTTCGATCCCTGGTCAGGGAACTAGATCCCACATGCATGCCGCAAATAAGAGTTTGCATGCCACAACTAAGAAGCCCGTGAGCTGCAACTGACCAGGCACAACCAAATAAATAAATATCAAAAAAAAAAAAAAAAGAAGAATCCAATGGAAGAAAGACATCAAAATTTTTTTTAATTTTTAACAAAGATTTTAGTCACACTTAACTCTGCATTGAATAAAAAGTAAACTTCATGCTTACTCTCGTATAAAGCACAAATATACAGACAGTACATAAACAGATATACAATATAACTGTGGCATTAACATTTCATGGGAGTTGGGGAAATAGGAAAAAATATCTAAGAAGAATCTTTAGGGTCAACAGCAATGGAAAAAAAGGCTGAGAAACACTGTTCTATTTAATCAGGTCAGAAACCTTGGTGTCATATTAGACTCTTTTTTTTTTTCTTCTTCTCATATTCCCTTTAAATCCACGAGCAATCCTTTCGGCTCTACCTTCAAACTATCCAGGATCTGACGCCATTCCTCTTTTTTTTTTTTTTTTTTTTTTGCCATGCTAGTAGAAGCCACCATCATTTCATTGTCTGGATTACTCCAATAGCCTCCTTAACTGGTGGCTCTGCAGTCAGTCTATTTTCAACATAGCAACCAGTGTAATCTTTTAAAAAGAATGCTATGTAACTTTTCTGCTTAAAACCGCTCTGCTTAAGTGTTCCCCGCCTCAAAGTTAAAAGCCAATGTCTTTACAGTGGCCTTCCAGGCCCTACATGAACTCTCTCCCTTCACCTCTCAGATCTCATATTCTATCACTTGTCCTCTTCCCTAGCCACAATGGCCTCCTTGTTCTTCCTCTAATATATCAAGCCATTCCTGTTTTAGGTCCTTTACACTTGCTGTTCCACCTGCCAGCATGTTTTTCTCCTCCTCCCCCATATTTGCTTGGTTACCTTGTGCTCAACATTCAGATCAAGTATCACTTCCTTCCAGAAGCCTTCCTTGATCACCAAACAACCATTCCCATTCCCTTAAGGACCACACACACAACCCCTCTCTCTTCCTTACCCTGCTTCATGCTACTTCATAGAACTTATTACTCCCTGATATATTTTTTATGGTCTCCTGCCAATAAGCCCCAGAAAAAAGGGATATTTGTCTATTTTGCTATGTTACTCCCCCACATCTAAAACTGTACTTGGCACAAGACGTTCAACAACTTTTTGTTGAATTAACAAATACTATACGTGAGCTTGACAAAACAGGTTCCCTGCCTCAAAAAACGTGAGTCTACTGGGAAGACGTGAAACAATTAAAATACAATAACTGCATGTGTTCAGTGGAACAAAGAAGCCTCCAAATCTGCCCAGAGAATTTACATAGGCATATGCAATTGCACGGTTAATCTAGGTTGTGCTAATCAATGTAATAATAAATATCTAAGGCTTTTGTAAACTATAGTGTATTATGCAATTGTGAGACTGTATCATATCTGGCGAAGGTGAGATCACATCTTGCCTTTTATTGTTTCCGCGTCTCGAAAATTCTACGGGGAAAATTTTCGTTTCACTTCATTTACTTCCTCTTCCTATAATCCAAAAAGTCAAGTGGCTGTGAGTGTTAATGTCCCAGGGGAGTGTAAAAAATTGTTTGGTCTGGGAGTCTGCGTAGTGAATGGCTCGCTGGAGCTGGCGCATGCGCATCCTCTGAGGCACTGCAAGATGTCTGCCAGCTACTTTGTGGCGCGTCGGTGCCCCGAGGAATTAGCAGCGGCGGCGGCGGCGGCAGCTGCAGGTGCCAAAAAATAACAGTGGCCGCTGAGCGGTGGGAGTTTCTCGGCCCTGCTGTGTGAGCTGGACAGCCCCAAGGGAGACACCTCGCTAGGAAGCAAAACGCGGGGCGGAGCGGTGAAGCCCCTCCCCCAACCTCTCCTTAGTTTGACCAACTCCCTCTCCCACCCTTCTCTCCCCGTTTTTCCTCCCAGCCCGCTACGCGCTGGCCTGCTGCGCAGGCGTACGAATAATCGAAGCGCCTCCTTAGCCCTTGGGGCTTGTGGGCTTCTGCGCGCGCTTCCCGTTCTTCTCCCTTGATTGGCCAGATTGCTCCGCCATCACACCTCCCTCTGCTTTTTCTAAGTTGAGAAGGAAGCAGGGGGGCGGGGCCAAGCAGCGCGTGCGCGATAGTGTTGCTGTCCCTTTGCTGCTATTGCGTTGCAAAAAAAATCCTGACTAGGTAGCCTTGGGCCTTTCTGTGCTAGAGGATCTAAAGGAGACAGAAAGATTTCTGCAACTGAAGGGGCAGTCGGGTAGTATTAACTTTAAGATATTCATGCCCGCTCTTAGAGGAGTGTGGGGAACGGCCTTAAGCGTTGAGAGCCGAAGAGTAAAAAACCATTAATTTCCGGGCCAGGCGTTTAGAAAGGCTTTGCAGGACCTGTTTTCTGCGCAATTCTTCCGTGATTACTGACTAGTTTAAACACAATCCCTTGAACAATTCCGATAAACCTTCGAAATCCGCAGCCCCTCTTTGCAGCGTGTAGGAGCCGCCAGCGTGCCCAGCAGCTGGTCCTCCCGTCCTGCCTCCAGAAGAGCCTAGCGCGTGCACCATCCCCACCCCCTGGCCCCCCTCCCCACCTGCGGCTTTCACGCACTCGCAGTGATTGTTTTGCCCGCTCCCGCCGCCGCCGCCGCCGCCGCCGCGGCCGCCAGAGGAGCAGCAGCGCTTGTGCAAACCGGGAAGATGGCGGCCGGCGGCGGCGGAGGCGGCAGTAAGGCCTCCTCCTCGTCGGCCTCTTCGGCAGGGGCTCTGGAGTCCTCGTTGGATCGAAAATTCCAGTCGGTAACTAACACCATGGAATCTATTCAAGGCTTGTCGTCTTGGTGTATAGAGAACAAGAAACACCACACTACTATCGTCTACCATTGGATGAAGTGGCTCCGGAGATGTGAGTGTTGGGGGGTGACTAGGGAAGGGAAGACTGGGGATGGAAAGAAATACTACCCGAAACGCTTAGGGTTTCCCTGTGGAGCCGCTGCATTCGGTTGGGGTTGTTCATATTAAAGCTTCGACCAGAGTGTACCCAAACTCAGACCCTACTCCTAGCCAGGATTGTCCTGAACTGCAGGAGGCTCATCATTTCTTGGATTTTATAGCGACTGACTTGGTGTGACCTTGGGCCGTTGGGCCCAAATCTGTTGAGATTTACATGTTTCAGAGCTTTGTAAGATGATGTTGTTTTTACTGAACCTTCACAGAAATGTTGCGTCCGTTTATTTCTTATAGGCCCTGACGTGTTAATGATTTCTTGTTTTCCTGATGATAGACACGCTATGGTTTAAGCAGTAGTAAATGCACCTACTTCGCTGGAATATGTGGGACCATTCTATTTTCCACTGACCTAAAACGTGTGATGTGTAATAAGAAGGGCCTTACCTAGATGAAGAGGTAACGTGAGCTCCACATAGAGCTGAGGCGACCACCTAAGAGGTTTTTGTAGCTATGTTTGCTGCAGTAAAATACAGGCTTCTTGATACTGACCGGAAACAACCGTAGTCAGTATCGCCACTAACACCATAAAATGGAAAACATATCCGGCTACTTTTCAACCAGTTCAGATACCTTTTTAAAGAATAGGAATTGGTTTCATAGGTAATCAAAACAAAGAATCAGGAAGTGTGCTTTTTGAATAGGTACTACTTTTTTACCCCAGTTAATTGCTTTTTTGTCTACATCGTGGAGTTTTTTTCACTTTGCTGCGTTACTGCAGAAAAGAGGTCTGTTAGACTGTCAGGAAGCATGGGTTGTTTGCAGAAAATTTCAGATCTTTTAGGACAAAGTGTGGAGAAGTCATTTGTTGCTTCCTGCTGAGAGGGTTGACCCTAAATCCATGTATATCTCTTTGAATTTTAGGTCTGCTTCCTGTCTATGGCACGTCACCAGTGAGACCCATCATTCACTTATTCTTCTTATTCCACTTTCGCTATTGCCCCTATAGTGTTTTAATTTGTCTTTACTTTTAGGGAACAGATGGATAAAACTTACAAAATCATAGACCCCAAACTTCAAATCATTTGTGTATAAAGTTATTGTTGGGAGAGATGTTTTGTGGCTCTTTGAATAATATATGCAGAAAGAGTCGTATAACCAAGGCAGGATTACCTATATTTACCAATAGCAGATCAAAGTTACTTTCTTTCCAAGAGGTAAAATTAGAACATAAAATATCAAGTACCAGTCATTATCAAAGACTCACATAGTATCTACTATGTACCCAGCCCTTTGTCATTTACAATATATCTAGTATCTCATTATACCTTAAACTAACCCTAAGAAGTAAATTTTTTAATAATTGATTTACAGATGTGGAAACTAAGCCTCAGAAATGTTAAGTAAGCTGCTTAAGTTTATACAGTAAAATGGTGGAGTTGGGATTTGACTCCACAATATCAGATGACAATGGCCACATTTAACTTTGTAAAGTAATGTTTTCATGATTATTCTTTAATGTTTTTGGTATACCAGTGGTAGCAAGCAGTGCTCAAGCCTGAGGACGTATTCTCCTTAAACATATTTTTCTTCCTGTTTTAAAACATTTTTACTTTTTCTATCTTTGGGCTCTGGTGCTTTAACTGTATGGTTACATCATTTGCAAGGATAAGTTGGTCGCCATCCCTGCCTGTGGGATTACAAATGCAATTACAATATATTTTTTACAGTCAGCGATAACGAGATACACTGGAGCCAGAATTTTTCTGCCTCTACTTTTGATATTGTGCCTGAGCTTATTTCCCTTGTTGATATTTTAAGAGTGAAAAAAATGATTGCTTTAGGAAGACAGTGCTTCATTTGAAGTGCATTATATACAGTTTGTATAGTTAAATGCTTTTGGCTTTCTATAAACCTGATTTTTGTTTTTTGTCTGGTGGAATGCAACTTAACTTTCAAAAATGGTTAAGGGTAATTTGTAGTTGTTTTATGTTTATGTTGAGTGAACATCGTTTATCTTATTGTAAATAAAGCCTTTTGAGAGAAATATTCAGGAGATTGTTGTTAGAATTATTTTAGTTCGAGTTTGGTTTTTAAGTCAGCTTTAGGCAAATTTGTGAAATAAGTGTCTTTGGCATTCCCAGCCTTTCTGTCCATTTTCCTGATGCCACTTTTGCTTCTCCTTTTTTTCTTTGGCATCCATTATTTAGTAATTTATATTTAGACCTCAGTGGGAGTTTAAGTGACTATGTTAACTCTTCCTGAGATATTTTCATTTTTATCCTTTATTTCATAACGTGTAATAAGAGACTTTTGTTCACTTTAAAGGAAATACTTTAGGGAGTTCCCTGGTGACCTAGTGGTTAGGATTCCGGCCTTTCACTGCCATGGCCCAGGTTCAATCCCTGATCGGGGAACTGAGAGCCTGCAAGCTGCGCAGTATGGCCAAAAAATAAATAAATAAAAATTAAAAAAACAATAAAGGAAATTACTTAGAGAAGGCAAGTAGTCTTCCTGAAGACACACTCCATGGTGGGTTATACTGATTTTTTTTTTTTTTTTTTTTGG